TGTTGGATTCAGGTGCAAAATGTGACGTAGAAAAAAACGATGGAACCGGCCACGAGGTCCTTGCTAACACCCAGGCTCTTGATGCGAAGGTGACCACATTCAGAGGGATCTGAAGGGTGGTTTATTGGTCTCTTGTCTCCCTCTTCTGGATCTGTTAAGGATGCAACTCTCTTCCTCCTAAGACGGCACTTTGCTCACCATAAATACACTGGAGATATTTAGAATAAACCTCCAAAACTGAATAGAAAAACTTGTCACTCCAAGGAAAGGTTTTTCTCAACTTTTGAAGCACTTCCCCCCCAAATCTCTCAGTTTTCTTTCACTATGCAATATAAAGAGTGAAGAAAAGGGGGAAACAGCTCACTATTTGAGGTTTCGCTAATGGGTCAGATCATCAAAACACGTCTCCTGCTTCTAGCAGCCACCAAATATCTATGCCTTCTGGAAGAACAAAAACAACAGGAAGCCACCAGGAGGACTGAGGAGAACCTGAGTTCAAAACCATGCTTAGCCATGAAGGTTTACTGTAGGCGAGCCACCGAAAGTGTCGATGGTCTCATGAGTAACTTTCATAGAATCATGAAGTTGAAAGGGACCTATAAGGCCATCGAGTCCAACTCCCTGGTTAAGGCAAGAATCAAATCAAAGGAGATCTGACAGGGGATTGTCCAAATTTCTCTTTAATCCTCTGGAATACCTCCAGTGTCGGAGCGCTCTCCACCTCCTGCGGTCATGGGCTCCATTGTCGTACTGCTTTAACAGTTTAATTCTCTGGAATACCTCCAGTGTCGGAGCACTCTCCACCTCCCGAGGTCAGGGGCTCCATTGTCGTACTGCTTTAACAGTTATGAAGATTTTCCTGATATTCAGCTGAAATCTGGTTTCTTATACTGTACCTTGAGCTCATTGTTGTGTGTTCTGTAGTTTGGGATGACCGAGAACAGATCCTGCCCCTCCTTTGTATGACTGCTTTCATAGTCTTTGAAAAATGCTCTCCTATCTCCCCTCAGTCTTCTTAAGACTAAACATGCCCAGTTCTTTCAGTTTTTCCTCATAGGGCTTGGTTTCCAACCCCCCTGATCCTCCTTGTCGCCCTCCTCTGAACTTGCTTCAGCTTTTTGGCATCCTTCTTAGAGTGTGTTGTCCAGAACTGGACACAGGACTCCAGATGAAGCATAACCAGTGCTGAATAGAAGAGAACTAGTACCTTGCGGGCTTTGGAGACTATACTTCTGTTAAGGCAGCCTAAAATAGCACTTGCCATTTTTGTAGCCACATCACACTGTAGGCTCATATTAGGCTTGTGTTCTACAACAATTCCAAGATCCTTCTCGCTTGTAGTAATTGCTGAGCCAGGTATCCCCCATTTTGTAACTGTGCCATCACTTTCTTTTTCCTTGGTGTAGAATTTTACGCTTATCGCTGTTGAATTTCATTCTGTTGTTTTCTGCCTAGCCTATCCAGATCATTTTGAATGTTCTTTCTGTCTTCCAAGGTATTAGTGGTTCCACCCAATGTTGCATCATCTACAAATCTGATAAGTATTCCCTGCACTCCCTCATTCAAGTCATTAACACATTGAAGAGGACTTGACCCAGGACTGAGCCTTGGGGTACCCCACTAGTCACCTACTTCCAGTTTGAGGACCCCATTAATCATCACCCTCTGAATACAGTTCTGTAACCAGTGGTGTATCTGCCTGATGGTTGTGCTATCCAGCTCACGCCTCGTTAGCTTGCCCATCAGAATATCATGGAACACTTTGTCAAGGGCTTTCCTGAAGTCAAGATATATTACGTGTACAGCATTCCCACCATCTACCAGAGAGGCTACCTATACAAAAAATGAGATAAGGTTAGTCTGGCAGGATTTGCTCTTGACTAATCTGTGTAGGCTTCTAGTTATTACTACCTAGTTTTCAAGGTGTCTGCAGAGTGGCTGATTTATCATCTATCTTTACATCTGAGCTTGCATCTTCCTCCCTCTTCCAATTCAATTTAAAGACCTCCTGATGAAGTTCTTTATGCTGTGGCCGAAAGACATTTTTCCCTGTCCATGTGAGTTGCAATCCATCACTTGCCAGCAGCTGATCTTCCAGGAAGATCATTGCTCATGGTCCAAATACCTAAATCCTCATGTCAACGCCACCTTCAATCATTTACCTGGAGTATATTCCCCTCCCCTTCTATTCCTCTTTCGAGAACTGGTGGGATGGACACGAAGGACATCCCAGTGCCAAAGTCCTTCAATTTTCCTCCTAGAGCTTCAGAATCTGACATGATTTCTTTGTAGTTCCTCTTGGCTGTGTTATTTGTTCCCACGTGGATGAGGAGAAAGGGATAGGCATCTGCAGGTTTAATGAGAGATGGCAGCCCTTCTGTCATATCCCTAATCCATCCTCCAGGGAGACCGCAGACTGTCTACGCTATGGTAACGGCACTCAAAAATGACATAAGAAGGCACCTCTTGCCTCCGTCTCCCCATAAGGAGCGGAGTCTGCCTTCGGCTGTTGTAACAAGAGCCTCGTGAACGGAGACGAACGATAACCATGGAAATTGCCTGGAGGGTTGGCGGGGCCGTCTGGATGAAGAAGGATCGTCTGAGATGGAGCACGCTGGGAGATCCCAGGTTTGATTTATGCTCGTTTCCTCTCTGGATGGAAAAGCCACCCATTTGTCTAGGAGGGAGGAAAGCCTTCTTTCTTCCGGAGGGGAGGAATGGCAGCTGCAGGTGCTCCGTTATCCGAATGGCCTGCCAGGAGTCGCCTCCTGATGGCTCTTGCATTAGTGACCAGAAGAAGGATGTCTGGCTGGGATAATAAGTATCTTCGTCAAGAAGATGGAAAGGTCTTCAAGCAGAGCTGAAGGTGTCCAGCACTCACTTTTGGGTAGAGGAACCAGGGGTCACCCCATGCTTCCAGTTCCATATTGCAACTTACCCACATGGACAAAAAAAGCCCATTTGAATCATTCCAGTTGGGATGTGGACTGATTCGAATCAGCCTTTGCATCATGCAGCCAGTAAAAACAATTTCACATTCCCCCCCCCCAATTACAAGCAGAACAAATCCTGCTTCAGTTGACCATGTGGTCACAGCCCGAGTCTTCGTACAGACCAAGGGGCACTGATTCTTGCTGAGGTGGCTTTAAAAACCGGGCACTCATTTTCATCGCTTCCCAGCTGTTACCAGCCGTCTCTAGCTCAGCGTCAAGTGTGTGTGTGTGTGTTGTACCTATGTAGCATCCATGAATCAAAAATCCAGAACCAAGGGGAAGGGGACTTGTGGGGGGAGAAGGAGGAGAGAGAGTGGCTGCAGAAGCTGGACTCATGTTGCCAGCTGCCCCACCAACCAGAAATGACCCCCTCTCTTCAGCTCTGGATATTCATTTGACCAGGCGAGCTGCATTACACCTTGGTTTTGGTCCCATGTATCCCATTTTCCTATGTGCACCTCTTCACGGATAGCTGCCTTGTTGTGGCGAAGGGGCTTGAGCCATTCAGAGAAGCTCTGGGCTACACCGTGCAGGGACACCCGAGACGGACAGGTCATAGCTCTTCATGGATGGCTGCCTTGTTGTGGCGAAGGGGCTTGAGTCATTCAGAGAAGCTCTGGGCTACACCGTGCAGGGACACCCGAGACGGACAGGTCATAGTGGAGAGTTCTGACTCAATGCGATCCACCTGGAGCAGGAACCGGCAAGCCACTCCAGCATCTTTGCCAAGAAAACTCCATGGACAGAAACAAAAGGCTAAAAGAGTCCACAGTGCAATGCATGAAATAGAGCTTGGAGGTTCCGGAGGCCTCACCAACTCCCAGACATACGTTTATACAGAGCAACCCAAATCTCCAAAATAGGCACTAGAGATGGGCACAAAAGGAACCATGGACCCAAACACCGGATGAACTGCGCTGGTTTGTGGTTCGTTTCAGTTCGGGGATCCTGTTTTGCTGAAGCAACAAACACCGGACGAACTGCGCTGGTTTGTGGTTCAGTTCAGTTCAGGGATCCTGTTTTGCTGAAGCAAAACAAAACACTGAACATTTTTATTTCATAGAATCATAGAAATCATAGAAAAGTGAAGTTGGAAGGGGGCCTACAAGGCCATCAAGTCCAACCCTCTGCTCAAGGCAGGAATGCCATCAAAGCATCTCTGCCAGGGGATTATCCAAGTTTTTCTTGAATGCCTCCAGGTTTGGAGGGCTCACCAACTCCCGAGGTCACAGGCTCCACTGTTGTTGGGAAGTTTTTCTTCATATTCAACCAAAATCTGGCTTCCTGCAGCTTGAGCTTATTATGATGTGTCCTGCACCCTGGGATGATTGAGAACAGAACTTGCCCCTCCTCTGTAGGACAGCCTTTCAAGTATTTGAAAAGTGCTGTCCTGTCACCTTTGGTGTTCCTTTGGTGCTCCATTTGCTTTGGCAAAGGAGATGCCCGCCTGCCCGCCCCCTTCCCACTGTCCCCATCGCCTCTGTCTACCTGTTCCAGCCGCCGCCTTGGGGGCCATCCGCAGAGGCCACGGGCCTGGCTTCCCTGCAAGGAGCCTTTAGTGGCCTCTGAGCATGGCCCCGTGAACTGCAAACCATCACAAACTTTTGGTTTTCTGGTCCTCCATCACCTCTGTCTACCTGTTCCAGCTGCCACCTTGGGGGCCATCCACAGAGGCCACGGGCCTGGCTTCCCTGCCAGGAGCCTGTTGTGGCCTCTAAGCATGGCCCCACTGCAGTCCCAGTGCTGGAGGACAAGGTACTCCTCCCTCTGCGCAAATCAGAGAAACCAACCATGAACCACTTTGTTTTGCCAGGGGATTGTGGTGCTTCATGGTGATTGACCTGTGAATTGCGAACCATCACAAACTTTTGGTTTTCTGGTCCATGCCCATCTCTGCTGGGCACTGGAACAGTCCCAAAAACCCGACGGAGCCTCTTTCCACCTTTGCTACCTCCGATGTCCATTCCAGAAGAGCCCAAGAGAAGCAGAAGCATCTGGGAGGCCAGCTCGTGGCTTCTCCGGGGCTTCGTCCCTGCCTCGTTTATTTGAAAACTTTAAAAAGGTACAAGAGGAAACCAAAATCACAATGAAATGTGAGCATCTTAACATGAAAAACAAATATAGCACAATAGGAACAAAAAAACTGCAGGCTCAGTACTAGGACCATCTGGAGATAGAACGCAATTTCGCTTCATGACGGAGCCCCCTCCAAAACGGCACTGATCCTTGTGAAGAGTACACAACCCTTCCCTTTTTCAAACACACATTCCATAAAATCTCCCCATTTGCCAATACATCTGTTTGCACATAGCAAGCCCTTCTAAATTTTATATCACACATTAACTTATCATTAGTCGCTATGTGCCACACTCCTCTATACCAATCATTCCCTTTAAGGTCATGGTTAACGTCCCAGATCTTTGTTCCCCTTAGCTCTGCTGTTGATGTAACATTTGAAACCAATTCTTCTAATTGCCCAGCTCTGTGGCTTCTCTTCTGGGCTTCTGGCTGGGTCCTGGGGTTCTCCATCAAGCAGCCTAGCTGAGGAGCAGTTTGCGAGAGAAAAGGCAGGAAGGGAGGAGGCTACACCAGGTGAGGATCCGTCTGTGGATTCACGCCCCAAGTCCCCCACTCGAATCAGCTGTGAAGTGGAAAGGGAGGAGATGGGCGTCACTCTGCCTTGGTCGGTGGCTTCCCCTTTTCCTTCTGGCTCTTCACGGTTTGTACTGAGCATCGGCTCCAAACAGCAGGAAGTCCTGAGGAAACACCAGACAGCAGAAGTGAAGGGACACATCTCACGTTGGACAACCACAAAAGAAAACCGAGACCCTTCCTGTCCTGGTGGCTTTCTGTAGGTCAATAGAAGGCGGGGCCCTGATCTGGGAATTGTAGAACAGCCTGGTGACCTCCTTGGCTGACCGAGCCCATGGGTCTGGACATCTGTGTCCAAGAAACCCATCATTCACCCATGAATGCAGCCCCTGCTTAAGGACAGGAAGGGGAAGGCAACGGAAGCAGGGAGGAAGGACAGTGGCTGCAGAGGGAGGGACCTGGAAATTGCTGATGCCCCATCCGTGGACAATGCTAGTGATGCTTTCAGGGCATGGATAGAGTAATTCTGGGCAGCTGCTCAAATAGACCCCTGTGAACCTAGCCGCCCAGCTTGCAAAGGGAGGAAAGGAGGAGGGCAGGCCAAGCCAGCTCCCTTAAGGAGCGCTTCTAGAAGGATGGGTTCAAAGAACCGGGTCTCTCTTTCAGGCCAGCTGGACTGGCACCTCGAGGAAAACGAGGACAGGCAGCCAGTGGGTGAAGGCAACTGTGCATGCGTGTATGTTTGCACGAGCAGGGCGTCTGTGCTCTGTCTGTCTGTCTGCTCATGGGTGAAGGGAGTCCAAGGAAGGAGCCACATGCCAGCTCTTGGGGATCCCCCATCTTTGATTCCCAGAAGTTCCCCAGGGCTTACACACAGCTCAGAAAAGAGTGTTCTGGAGAAACAAAACCCCAGTTCTTCCTCTCCCTCCCAGCTCAAATTTAGCGTCACCCTAAAACCATGGACAGTCCCCTGAATTTCAACTGCTGACTTTTGTGTCTCTTCATCGATGAGCAAAGGGCATTCATTCTGCACCCTGGGCAAACACGGGTAGGGGTCACCTGACACCTACAACCCAACGCTGGTTCATCCCATCTGCAAGCTAGGTTTTCAGACGTCACCCCACAGCTATTATTTATCTTCTCCCCCTTTTCTTGTCTAGACCCTGATCAGACACCACAGAGAAAACTTCGAGAGATTCCGTCAAGCATGGATTGATCGTCATCCATGCATTCTCCAAGGGTGGATTTTCCTCCATGGTTTCTGTGAAGGCTCCTTGAGTCTAGGAGGTTCTGTTGGGTTTTTGCTTCTCAGCTGGCTTTGCAATCTTGTCAGGGGCTCCGAAGCCCTGCCATGATGTCAGGAAACGAATCGAGGCGTACGCTCGGCCCTCAGAGCTGCTGGTGTGTCCAGACTCACCCCAGCAGTGCCGGCTTAGCCTGCCTTTCAGGAACCTTTCTTGTGTGCCGTCTTGGCACCAACTTTATGAAAGCGACCCAACGGATGGCATTTTCTTCTGCAAATGGGCTCAGGAACTACCCACCTGGTATGGCTGAAGGATGAGGCTGTAGAGCTCCACGTGGTCCAGCAGAGGAAGGGGGAAACCGTCAGCCAGCCATGCTGGAAAACAAAAAACCATCGGGGTGATGGAAGGAATCAAAAGGGTGAATCAGGTTCCAACAGAGTTAGGATTGAAAGCCACATCAGTTCCCCATCTTTACCCCTCTTTCCTCCAAGCAGGGCTTTTAATCAATGCCCCCCTCCCTAAATTCTGTAGTAAGAAAAGTCACAATATATGGTGCACACGGAATAGATTCTGACCCTCACATTCTTGTTTAGGTCTCAGTAAGCTGACGGTTAGTCAAAAAGGAGTTGTTGGGGTTTTGTTGTTGTTGTTTTTGCAACCTTGCATGCTGTCTGTAGTAGATATTTTACTAGGTTGGAGTGACTGTCAATCTAATCGGCACTAAACAATCATTCCTCCTGCCTCTGAATTCAAAGACAGGCCTGCCTCTCTATTCTGCGCGCTTTCCCTCTCTTTAGTCTTTTAGAGGAAGACAGTTTGCATTTTGTTTGCTGTTGATCTGCTCACAGCTGTAAGTAATGAAACATTTTTTATTCTTTCTCCTACAAATATCTCAGAGTGAGTTATTGGGAATTCAAGTGCCGGTTAATCAGAAAGGTGTGGGCTCTCTGGGGAACTTTCTGCTATTCCCCTCTGTGAGTCTCTGGACTTCTACTGTGTAGCCACGAGGAATTTTAATCAGAAATGTGAAGCTCAGCAATAAAAAGAGTGGGCCTGTTCTTTCTCCATTGTGGCTTCCCTTCCAGTCAGGTCGAAGGCTCCACTTTTCCTTATGATCGCAATCTTCCTTGGCAGTTTCCAGGGACTAGATATTAAGCCTGTGGAGTGGTTTCAACAGAAAGAAGGTCCACTTTTTGAGGCTTTATTTCCTCCTTTCCAAAATGAGCGCTCACTTCAGAGAGAGGTTGGGATGTGGAGAAAGTTATAATGATGCTAGCACATCTTACAGAGCAAGCCTTACCATTAATTTGTGGCAGAAGGATGCTTGAAGCGGAATAGCTCAGGATGGCTTGCAGCAATTGTACCTAAGAGGGGAGGAGGAGGAGAAAGAGAGAGAGAGAAACCATCTATGAGAAAGGTGAAGAGGAGGATTGGGAATCCTTCATTGTGATCATCCCACACAACAGCTTTGGTAGGACTCTGTATGTGCCTTATCAAGCAAGGAGAGACGGTGGTGACAGGATGTAAAAAATGGGTATTGATATTTTATTCAAAGATAAGCCCATAAAGAATAAAGTATCGGTACCCGTTCTTGCATCCTGGGGCTGCCGTCTCTCCTTGCTTGGCAGCTTCAGTGGATGCACCGGTCCTTTCTGTTCTTGTATCTGCCTTGGCCTGTAGACTCAAAGGTCCATAGCCCATGGGTTGAGAGCTCCGGCTGGGGAGCCAGAGGCGCAGAGTTCGATTCCTCACTGGGCCTTCTCGACAGACTTGATGACCCACAGGGTCCCTTCCAGATCAGTAGCTCTAAGATGATGACGATGATTTCTTTACCAATTTTTAGCTAATGGGGTAGATCCACCAAGTGGCTTCAGGAGGCCTCCTGGTTTTCTAGGAAAAGATATTGGGGGGGGGCGCAGGATTAGGCTGGGAAGCTGATGATAACAAGGTAGTCCTGCCCCACCCAAATAGGGAACGGGAACCTCTGGCGATACTGGTGGAATCCTTGTGTGTGGGTACGTGGAATAACTGAATGAGGCCATCACGCCACAGAAGGCACTGAAAAGATCTTACCGAGAAGGGCCCAACGTCCGAATGCTTCAAGGACAGCTGCAGCCTACACGGGAGTAAAGGAAAGAGAGAATAACATCTGTGTTTTTAGGTCGCTCATCTGTAGCAAAGGGGTCAATAGCAGAAGGCAAGTTAAAACACACCAGAGGAACAAGCCAAACGGTAGCAGGCAGTTTGTTGAGCCTTGGTCTACCCTTGCTGGCTGCCAGCGGGGATGTTTCTGGCTAGAAGCTGGCACAGAAATAAATGAGGACGTCGCGGAGGCAGAATGTGGTCAAACCGGCAGTTTCCGGGTCCTGCCTGCCAGCAGTAAATCAAGTGCACGTTTTCTGCCCCCCTGCATTAACACCCAACCATTTAGCCTCGTTGCCCTTAATCAAGAAAACCAAGGGAGCGAGCGGGTGGGTTATGAAGATGGTTGACTGCCAACGGGAAAACCTCTGCTCACCTGCCCAGTTTCAGGGACCCGACAATCCGAGTGGAGTTCACGCCAACTTTGGCTGAAACTGGGGCTCTCTGGAATAAAAGAGGAACAGAATGAGCCCACTTTGGTGACACCTTGAAGTTGTTCTAATGATGTGTCTGCACACAACCGTTTTCTAAAAAATAACATCCAATGGGGTGAACTTCTCTTTTGTGGGGAGAAATTTGCAAAAGTATAAGAAACATTAAATAAATGAAGAGAATGGGGAAAGAAAGAGGGAGGCATTAACAACACGGAGAGGGGAAAAAAGCTGGTAATAAATATGGAAACAGGCAGAAAGATGCATCCTAAGGTCATAGTGCTCAATTTATATAAAAACAAGAAATCCAGAGGAAGAAGAGGGCTTAAGAGAAAAAGCAGGCTGGAAGAAGCTGCAAAATCTTCGCACAGTTGACGCTGATGCACGGAAAGGAGACGGGCTCGCCTTACCGCCTCAATCACAAACAGAGGAGCCAAGCTGGAGTTGGGGAGAATCGCGAACGCCTGGACGTTAACCACTGGAGTCAGCGAGAGGCTTTCGGGCGCAATACGTAACAGCGGGGCAGAAGAAGGGGAGACCTTGAGCACCATGAGCATGTTGGGGAACATCTTCTCCAACTGGGGGCAAAGAGCAAAGAAAGAACATGAACCTAGGCCGTCCTGTTGCCTGGTTCTTCCTGACATTTGTGGTTCCCTGATGAAGATTTTTCATTCTGCCCGTTCTCAGATTTCTAGCCCAGGCTGCCCAATCACTCAGCCCTTCTCTCCCTTTTGAGAAACAGAGCGCCCTTGTTGTTCGTCACCCTTCTTCTGACACCCCAAAACTGGCACAGGGGAGGCAGAGCACCAGTCAAAAGGGAAGAGGCCCTGCACTGAACAGTCAAGGGCCAGTTCTTCTACCATTCCATAATATCAAAGAGCCTCGTGGAGTAGCGGTCAAACTGCAGTATTGCAGTCAAGACTCTGCTCATAACTTGAGTGTGATCTCAGTGCGTTCAGGGAGCCAGTTTGAGATGGACTGAGCCTTCTGTCCTTCTGAGGTTGGTAAATTGAGTGCCCTGCTCACTAAGGGGTGGGCAATGTGTAGCTTATACAATGTGTTACTTTGCTTTATTTAAAAAATGATGTATTTTCCAGGATAAGCATGGCCCCTCTTGTATGAAAAGTTAAAATTCAACATTGGGCTGCTTTGGGCCCCTCCCAACCTCCGAAACACCCTTGAGGTCCCCGATGCATGCGGTATTTTGGGGCAGCCTGGCACCTCTTTCGGATAAGGTTGAGCAGCTTATCCATGGGTGGCAGCCCAGATGGGGAAAAGTGGCCCCCGCCTTTCGCACTCTCCTCCTGATGAATCCAAAATGGTGGTGGTGGGGCAGGGTTTAATTAGCAACGCAACACCGGTGTTTATCCCAACAAGCAGTTTTGACATCCATTGGATGCACGGCAAAACATACATAATATTTTTGAAGGAACATATTTAAGAACACTACAGCCCACTCTCTCCAAACACTGGGTAAGGTAAAGGTAAAGGTTCCCTCGACATTTAGTCCAGTTGTGTCTGACTCTAGGGCACGGTGCTCATCCCCGTCTCCAAGCCGTAGAGCCAGCGTTTGTCTGTAGACAGTTTCCATGGTCATCTGGCCAGCGCGACTAGACACAGAATGCCTTGACCTTCCCACCAAGGTAGTACCTATTTATCTACTTGTATTTACATGCTTTCAAACCGTTAGATTGGCAGGAGCTGGGGCAAGCGATGGGACCGCACGCCGTTGCGGGGGTTCGATCTTACGATGGCTGGTCTTCTGACCTTGCATCACAGAGGCTTCTGCAGTTTAACCTGCAGTGCCACCAAATCCCGCTCCAAACACTGGGAAGTCCAGGGGAAAGGCTTTTAGGTTTTAGAGCACAACAGAAATGAACATTCCTTGCTTTCACAACCTGACCACAGATCCATGCTCAACGGCAGGGTGATTTTGAACTTGGAACCAGGAGAACAGGGAATGGGGAAATGGTGGAGACTCTAAAGGGTGGGCAGTGTGAGGCCCAGGGACCAAAATCTGTCCTTCTGGTCATGCCCCCTCTTTGTGATACCATCAGAGATGTTTGCAGGCCCCTCTCCATCAAACGACAACAAGTGTGTCTTCTAAGGATAAATGACTTGCAGCTTCGATTTGGATTCCTACAATAAGCAAGGGGTTGGACTTGATGGCCTTATAGACCCCTTCCAATTGCACGATCCCATGATACTCTGAAAGCTTTAAGCTAAAATGTGCTCATCCTTTTGTTCCACCCACTTGCCTTGGCCCCCAATGGCCAACTCCCAAGGACCTCCCTGGGATTATGAGCCCTGGACTGAAGGCAGTTCTGCACCCTGAACTCAGAGCTTTAGAATCGCCACCCAGTGGAAGAGCTTCCTTCCCACCCCAACCGTTGACAGCGAATGCACCCATGATCCTTTTTTCGCAGGACTCTGTTCCGAGAGTTAATCCACCCAGAGGGCACCTGCGATGTCGCTTACCTGTGGAATGAAAGCCCCCAAAGTGGTCGTGTTGAGCCGCAGTTTGAACTCCTTGGGAATCTGAAAGAGGACAAAGAGAGACACGGAGGGAAGGATGCGCGAGGGTAACAAAAGTCAGGCCAGGTACTGCAACCACCGTGTTGAGGTCCCGTCAGCAATCCTGGCTGACAGGCAGGCAGGCTCACTTAACGGAGCATAACCGCGTCGCCTGATAGGAGTGAAATGTGCTACTCTGGTGTTGCAAAAAATATTAAAGGGTCCCGTGGCCCCCTCAAGGCTAATAAGGAATATTTAGCAAAAGGTTTGATGCGTTTCAGATGCAGTTGCAGAAGTCGGCTGCGGTACAGGACAACGTAGGGAGGACAAAACACAAAAAGAAAAAAAGCAAACCCCGTGTGGTCCTCCTCCATCATCCAAAGACAAAGGGAGGGTGATGGGTGCCTTTATGAGATCATGCTAGTCTCACACACAGAGGATAGTTTTGGGCTCTGCACAAGGTCTTCCTGAGCCTGGCGGTTCGAGGCTCGGGTCACCCAGAAGGAAGAGAGCAGTTCCAAATTCCACATCAGGATGCGCCAGCCAGGAGAAGCTGTTGCCTGAGCTTATCTCATCTAGCTGCAAATTGCTACCAGATGATATTGTGCAATATTAGTGCAAGAGAAAACATTTCTCCGTATTCAAAGGGGATGCAGACGTTCATGCATAGAATACGTGGGATTTTGCTCACTCTTGCCAAAGTTTGGAAAGATTCTTTTTTCTGGTCTCATGTGGATGCCTCCACATTTTAACACATTTTGGGTACTGAGAAAACAGGATGAACTGCATGTAGCAACAGGGAGAAGAGACGACCCTTTGTGACCCCTCATGGCCAGGCCCGCTTGGCATCCTTGAACCCTGTTTCTTCTTACCATGCTGTCGGTGATGTCAAAGGTCATGACGCCCGCATTGAAGTACACGTTGCTAGCCGTGTTGAAGAAGTAAGTGGAGACTCCGAAATACAGCATGCGGTCGTGATCCACCGGGAAACTCAAGGCAGGGGGTGGGAACGGCGCGGGAGAGCGGTGGGTCATGGAGAAGAACTCACCCTGATGTCCGGGGGAAAATCAGAAGGAAAGAAGACAGGCGAAAGCGAGAGGAAAACTCAAGACAATTGTCTCAACCCACAATATATATGATGATGGGGATATATAAAGTCATCATCCCCATCATCATACAATAGCCGCACACCAGACTCCTGATCGGTGAGGAAAAAAAGCAAAAAAAGAGAGATTAAAAAATGGTGGCACTATTTCATATTTTTTTAACGTGAGCTTTCTCATGGACAAGGGCACTTCATCAGGCACACCAGACTCGTGTTGCCCATCCATCCGAGTCCAAGGCCCCTTCCTGGGCCATGCAACACCAGCGCAAACTTCTCCAAGCATGCATAAGATGTAAGGATTTGTGGGCTTAACATGCTTCCCTTCACATTCGGTGACACAGCGCCTCCTTTGGCAGGTATGACCGCGATTCCCATCGTTCCGGAAGATCATCCCCAAAGCAGAGCTGTGTCAGGAAGGGAAGGGAAGGGAGAGAAAGCAGCGGGCAAATTTCTCTCGGTCAGGAAGCAGTTGGAAGTCCAGGCGGCAGAAGCTCCTGACAAGGAAATCCGGTCCTCCTCCAACCCCTTCCACCTCCCGGCTGATCATACCTGCAGCGCCAGGTCAACAGAATTATTCGTGGTGACAGGAGGGCCAGTCAGGGAGTAATCAATCCCAGCAATGTTGTCAATTTTTGCTGTGACTAGAAAAAGAAAAAAGAAAAGACCATGTGAGAGATCGGTCTCAGAGTGACAAGAGGGGACTTGGCTTCTTCTCCTGGGACGACCCACCTTTGAGGAAGGAAAGGTCTGGTCTTGGTTTTAGCACAAGCCTGCAGGCAAGATGGGGAAAAAAAAATAAAAGCAGAAACCCTGTGGCAGCTATGAAACAATGTCCAGCTAACAACACCCATCAATCACAGTGACAGATAATCTCTCCTCCCTATCACAACAATACGCCCACAACAACAACAACAAAAACAACTGATCACCATAATCACCCATTTCCTGAAAAGGACAAAAGCTGATCCAACAGCTATAAATACTCAGCTCCCAAACAAACTGCACCAGAGCACAGAGTGCTACTCCTGTCCTCTGAAGAGGCCGGCCACAGAAACTGGCGAAACGTCAGGAAGAACAACCTTCAGAACAAAGAGCCAAAGAGCCCAAAAAACCCACAACAACCATTAGATCCCAGCCATGAAAGCCTTCGCAAATACATAGCATGGTTTCTAGCTCCATCCAGTGACCAGTTCTGGTAATGACACTGTGAAATCTAGCAAATGCTATACAGTATATACAAGGTCTCTGGTTCCCCCTAATGGCAAGTTCTGGTAAATTCATCATTAAAAGTATATATTTGGGGGGGGGGATTTTCTTTTATTTTTTAAAATAGTTTTCAGATGGTGGACAAGTGAATCAATGGATACTCATCCTACAGATAAGGGGTCCTACTTTAAGCAACAAAGTAGGACCCCTTATCTGTGGGATGAGTATCCATTTCATGCATCTATCCTCTTGCCAAATATATCAGAGTAAAGACACTTATGTCTGACACAGCAGACTTGACCCATGAAAGCACACATTGGAAAATATGTTAGTCTTCAAGGTGCCACTACGTTTTTGGGTGCTAAGACTTATTTTTGCTGGATAAGTTGCACATATGGTGGCACACAGTAAAGCAGCCACTTCTTTGAAAACGGTGGCTGAAATAAATGTATTGGTCTCAGAAACATCATTTCCATTTTGTTTTTCCTTCCTGTGGCTGCCAAAACAGATAAACTGAGTGGCCTCACTGAAAACATGCTCTGGCAGAAACATGGAGATATTATCCAGCTCTGGGCAAGAGAAAAGCTCAGAAAAAGATTCCTCTCTCTATCTTACACTGGAGAATGGAAGCAGGAAGCATGGATTAAAAATATCATTGCTTCCAATCTTTGAGAAGGCCTGGAGGAAAAGTATTCTGTGTCAGCTTCTTTGGGTCTCAGCCTCAGGAGAAAGGAGGCATACAAAAATAGATCAGTGAAGCAAGCAAGCTTTCGATGATTGGGTTCAGCCGAAGGTGTTGAAACCGTGTTGCTTCTTAGGTAGAAGGGGCTCCTTTCCTTCCTCTTGGTGCCAGCCCCTCACAGGTTGTCCTTACCTGGTAAGGTCTGCAGGAAGGGCATCAACTTGGAACTGACGGCGCTGGTCACCGTCTCACAGATCTGGGAGGAAGAGAAGGAAAGAAAGTTTGAGGAACCCACCTCTTGTGCGAAAAGAGGCCAACGTGTGAGGCACCTAGTTTGAGTTCTGTTGAAAAAGAGAGAGGGGGGCATGCATAACAAAAGTTATATATATACTGTATTGCTGTAAATCCTAACCCGTTGAATTCCATGTGAGCTTTTGTGGAACGCAACCCAGTTCCTCGGATCTGAGCTGCGCCCAGGGTCTCAGAGATGGGTTGAAGGAGTGGCAGAAGGGGGCGTTGCCAAACTGGGAAAGGGGAAGTTGCACCTTCCTTCTGAGGCGCCTGGGGAACTGGCATTTCAGAGGCACCCTCTGAAATAAAGTGCATTATCTTTTGGGTGTAGCGAGAGGAATTTAACAAAACTCTGCAACATGTCCTGGGTTTTCCAGTCTCCCAGAGTACCTCTAGAAAGTCTGTTCCAGAGGCTGTGACCGCTCACTAGATGGTGCCAAACGGGGCCGGCCGACCCATGCACGAGGGCTGCCAGCTGTTCCTTACACGGACCTTTTGCCTGTCATTGTCTCTGGTCCTTCCTCCACCTCGGAGGCAGCCACTGCCAGAGAGCCATGTCGCAATTAACGGCTAGCAGCTTGTCTCCGTGTCTTGGCACTGGCTGCTTGCATGTCGGCCGTTGTCTCGAGCAGAAGGTCCCATTGTATTCAGGGACACTGTCAGCTACATGGAGGTCAGAAAGACCTGCCAAACCAACAGGCATCAACTTCTGCTCCATACATACAAAATGTTCTCAGCTAGAAGAATTTTGATGTGTTGAACGCCTGGTGGTACTGAGCACCCTGAAAATTAAAAAATCAAGGCCGTGAACTGACCCCCAATGCAATCTGTGTCTGAACCCCCTTGTGTTCTCCTGAGGACACTTCGATCCAATTTATGGCTGGCTCAGTATTTCTGTGTAAGAAAAGCCTCCATGCAGAAGTCGTTTGTAGCAGTTAATTTTTATATAATTTATTTATTTTTTAAAATAAATTTTGTTTTTCATTTCTGTTGTACACCACCC